TATGTCAAGAAAGAAAAATGTGAGTTTGCTCAGTGGGAAATTAATTTCTTGGGGCATGTAATTTGCAAAGGGCTCGCAAAGATGGACAACAGAAAAGTGCAAGCAATCATGGATTGGCAAGCACCATGCAAAGTGACTGAGTTGCGCTCCTTTTTGGGTTTGGCCAACTACTATAGAAAGTTCATCGAGGGATACTCAAAGAAGGCAGCACCTCTCACGGATTTGCTCAAAAAAGACCGACCATGGAAGTGGGACGAAAGTTGTCAAGCGGCCTTTGACAAATTAAAGGTGGCTGTTGCAAGTGAACCAGTTTTGCGATTACCTGATTTTGAACTTCCATTCGAATTACATACTGATGCCTCTGATAAGGCTATTGGCGGTGTTTTGGTGCAAGAGGGGCACCCGGTTGCGTTCGAAAGTCGGAAGTTAAATGATGCTGAGAAGTATTCTGCCCATAAAAAGGAAATGACAGCGGTTGTGCATTGTCTTCAAATTTGGAGAGTTTACTTGTTGGGAACCAAATCCGTAGTGTTGACGGACAATGTGGCAAATACTTTCTTCAAAACACAAAAGAAGTTGTCTTTAAGGCAGGCCAGATGGCAAGAATTCCTTAAAGAGTATGACTTCGAATGGCGACACAAACTTGGGCATCACAACCAGGTTGCTGATGTTTTGAGTTGGAAGAAAATTGTGGACTATGTTGCTGCAATATCAAACATTGAAACTCAATTGTTGGAAAGGATTCGGGCGAATGCTGCAATTGATTATGAATATCAAAGGCTGGTTCAGCAAGTGAAAGATGGCACTGTGTGTCGCTATTGGTTGGAAAACGATCTACTCCATGGCAAAGGAGATAGATTATATGTCTCTAGTGTTGGTGGGCTAAGATTAGAGTTGCTTAGAGAAACTCATGATCTACAATGGGCAGGTCACCCCGAACAACAACGCATGATGGCTTTACTGTCCCGTTCCTAGTGTTGGCCAAAGATGGAGGAAAATGTAGAAGCCTATGTCAAAACTTGCTTAGTGTGCCAACTAGACAAGACAGAGGGAAAAAAGGCGACTGGATTGCTGCAACCATTGCCTATTCTGACGAAGCCATGGGTGTCTGTTTCCATGGACTTCATACCCGGGTTGCCAAAGGTGAACGGTATGCATTCGGTTATGGTTGTTGTTGATCGTTTCTCTAAATATGCTGTGTTTATCCCTGCTCCTCATGCTTGTCCCGCTGATGTTGCGGCAAACCTATTTTATAAATATGTGGTGAAATATTTTGGTTTGCCTGAGGATATTGTTAGTGATAGGGATACCTGATTTGCGGGACGGTTTTGGACTGTGCTATTTAACTTGATGAGATCCGAATTAAAGTTTTCTACAGCAAATCATCCTCAGACGGATGGACAGACCGAGAGAATGAATGCTTTATTGGAAGAATACCTCCGACACTGTGACTGCAATTCAAAGGAACTGGATTGATCTGTTGGATAGTGCACAGCTTTGTTATAATCTGCATCGGTCATCTGCCACAGGCAAAAGTCCGTTTGAAATAGCCACGGGGCAACAGCCCCTCACTTCGCATGAAGTGGCATTGACTGGCTCAGGGGATAGATGTTCCGCAGCATACCAGTTTGCAAGAGCTAAACAAGACATGCTAGATGAAGCACAAGATAGTTTGGCTAAGGCAAGCAAGCGGATGAAAAAGTATGCTGACAAAGGGCGGAGACCATTGGAATTCAAAGTGGGAGACAAGGTGCTGTTGAAGCTTACTCCACAGATTTGGAAAAAGATAAGTAGCAAGACAACGCACCGAGGCCTTGTTCCAAAGTATGATGGACCCTTTGAAATTCTGAAACGTGTGGGAAATGTTGCTTAGAGACTTAAGTTGCCTGACCGCTTGAAGATACACCCAACAATCCATGTTAGTTTCCTGAAACCTTATCATGAGGATCAGGTTAATATAACATGGACGCAAGCTCGACGCCCTCATCTGGTGATTAGAAAACAGTTTGATAAAGAAGTGGAACAGATTCTGGACCACAAGACAGAGGGACAAAGCAAGAAAAATCGAAGAACTCATTACTTGGTTAAGTGGAAGGGTTCTCCTGAAGCGAATGCAAGTTGGAAAAAGGATGTGACTCTATGGCAGTTTGAGAAACAAATTATAGACTACTTAGAGGCCTTACCGACGAGGATGTCGGCTTTTTCTGGTGGGGGTGGTTTGTTAGCACCTTAAAACTTGGACACGTAGGTTGGCATGCGGTGGCACCTTGTACCTATGTCAACCGTCCAAGTCAGGCATGAGGGAGACATGCCTAAGTCAAGGTAACAATGTGGTAGTGGCAATGCCACCAGACTCAAAGGCAAGTGATGCTTCATGTGGGCAAATGCGCGACTATACTTAGTCCGAATGCTGCTGGCAGTATAGACTTGTTGGGTCAGACAGATCAGTGGGCTTGGCACTTTATGGCAGACCAAGACTTACAATTTCGTGGGTCAAACTCCGGAGGGTTCAAAAGGTTGAAATGGATAGGCAGTTCATAGCAGTTTCATTGACATGATACAAAGTTGACAGATAGGGCAGTTAATAGCGGTTATGCTTGCAAGAAGTCATGACAAAGCCTGCTAGAATTAAGGAACTGGTCCAAGACAGTTCCAGACAGTTACCAGCAGTTATAATCTGCAGCAGCCTTGTTGGTTTGAATTTACCCCAGCAGTTGGGGGTGTCAACTGCTCATCACTGATTTGTAAAATGCCTATAAATGTTAAGGCATAGAGGGATTTAGACAAATCATGTTATCTGTACGAATACTCATGTATCCTTGTATTATCCAGTGGTAATAAAGGTTGGGAATGGTTCTTGTAATCTATTTGTGCATGCTTACTTGTTTACAAAATTCATAGTGGGTAATTCGTGCATGTTTGGCTGAGACTAAGTGCTGCAACTTAGTGCCATTGCAAGCTGGAAATTTGAAACGAAAATTGACCCTGTAACACCAAGTCAATGGGAAAAATATGATTCTAGAAAATACCAGAATACAAACCTTTTATGAAGCTTTTTAAGTTTTGATAAAATGTTGGGTGATTGTCACTATAATTAGGAGAAATTAATTTGCAAGAAGATGCAAATTATGCTCTAACCAAACTAGAACTATGTAATATTTGTCGATGTGAAGAATATGTGACACTATTCTAAAAATATGACTATGTTCTAGATCCTCCACAATACCTATTGGTTAGATCAGTTTTTTCATAAACTCCTAAATCCATGGGCTGAATTAAGTCTTAAAAAACATCCTAATTTTTTAGGAAAAATTGAAAAAGCGATAATCTTGGATTTAGGATAAACTTTGTCTCAAGACTGATAAACTTTTTATAGGCTTCAATACCGTTTTATAGAATATAGAAACAAAAAAAAAACAAAAATAAAAAGTCTAGCCTATAAAAAGCCTAACTTAGGCCATCACGTACAAAGTCAATACCTAGTCTAAAATGAAAACCTATTGTTGCAAAATTTAAAAGACTAGTCTATCTTTTGTACATATTATACAAATTCAGCCCTACTTCCTTCTTTTTGAAAAAGAGAAACTGTATCGGATTAGATTTGGTTAATCTTATCGTTTTCTTCTTGTTGTAGATCCTACCACGTGTGCTACATAAGATTGCAGTCAGTCCGGTATATCTGCAACGAATCTTCATGGGCCATTATGCTTCCATCATGTTTTCCAGATGAAAAATACTAGGGATCCCAAGAGATTGACCAAGAAATTTACCAAATGTCTCTTGGGGTCCCTAGCATTATTGTTTCCAGATTGTGCATGAAGATACTATCTTTAGATAATGGATAATCTTGTGGTAGGGTATATTTCGTATATATATATATATATATATATTGTGAGAGATTGTGAGATATTCTATTTCCTTTTTGGTCTTAGGGTTAGGATTGTTATATAAACATATGTATTATTTGATTATTGACATATTGAATATAGAAAACCATTTAGATGTCTTACACTTGGTACCCTTGCGAATCATAGTCTAGATTTAACAACATTAGACGAAATGATTTCAACATGTTGCTTTTTGGTGGTGTAGGATGTTTATGCTTTTGTCTCTTATTTGAACCATTTTATTTCCTCTTCCATTGACTTTTTTATACAAGCCTTCAATCTGTATTACTGTTCATATTCTTTTCATAAATCACTTTTTTTTTTTTTCAAAATTGTTGGTCGCCTCAAATTTACTTGTAAATTGATTATGAAATCCCAATAATTCTTAAATTGTGTAGTACTTCTCCGACAAGTTGGAAAAGAAAAGAAGCTTTCATGCATCTTATGCCATATCCTGTTGTGTTGTATTTCATGTGCCTGCCATGCTTAATGTGCCATTATGATCCATGTAAAATTTGTCTATTACATTAAAGAATCCTTGCACTTATTTTCTAGTGTGTATTCGAGTTCTTTTTATTGTTTTTATTTAAAAAAAGCTACTTGATATGAACCTTGTTACATAGTTTATTTGTTTGAATTTAACGTAGACTCAAACTATCTTTTACTTGTGGGTTTGAATCATATAGAAAACTAGAAGATTTATTTGCACTATATGTGGGATTGAATCATATAGACAAGTTGATGCATTCAAAATGCAAATCATTATCAATTTGAGAGAGAGACAGAAGACAAATCCCCAATGAGGGGGTAAACCCTTGAGGGAGGTTCAAGAGAAACCAAAACTTTGCTACAACCAATAAGTATATTCTTTTTTATCAAAAACTAAGTACAATGGAATTACATCACCTATTTATAAGCTAGTACTAAGCTACAAGCCTACAACTAGTAGGCCACTTAATATACACTTAAGGTATTTATTCTACTACATCACAACTAGAAGATTTATTTGCATTATACACAGTTTGTTATTGACATGGAAGTTGTATACTAGTCAAACAATAACATGATCTTACTCTTGAACAACTATTACTTCTGTTTCTTTCACTTACGCAGTTGAGGAAAGGGTACAACGTGAGCGTTTAAGGGATTTATCCGTCTTTGAGAGACTAAATGGAAGTCCTGTGAAAACATCTCCTAGTCTTGCTGTGAAAAAGGTGATCTCTACTAAATATGTTTGCATATTGCATTGTATTACTGCTACCTTAATTTAAGTATGCTATATGCAACTAGGAGACTTCTCCATTTTTGTGGTGTTAAATTCATTGACAACATGCGGGGTCATTGTTTTAAGCTCCTGCACTTGTGTGGCAGTCCATCTATGTTGAGCGATTTATGTTGGATTCCTTGAATCTATGTTGGATGCCTTGAATCTGTGTTGGACAGCTAAACCCAAGCACTACAGCCTGTGTTAGAACTTTTTGTAGACCTTGAATTTTAAGCTTCAGTTTCCTGGTACTTGTGATTAAGTTAAACTTGTTTCCAAGATGGCAACCCTTTGGTCATTAAGTGGACCGCAACCAAATTGTTAAGTATTAGTGTGTAAGAGTAGTTATGTCATTTGTTCCTTTAGTCTTTTATTACAAATATGTGTAACCCTAATATGTTTAAGAGCAAGATAATAAGCACAGCAGTCTCTTTGTTCTTCTTTTCTTCTTATTGTTTTTCTTCTTTTCATATGTAAATCTAACATCTAACATGGTATTAGAGCTACATCTTCCTCCTTGAAGATTGTGGTCTTTCCTTGTTCCTCTTTTTCTTCGTT